CCATACCAGGGATCCTTTGCATGAAAAACCTTGAGATCTGTTAGAACCAGCACAATTTAACTGTTCATGCTGCACCAAAAAGGCATTACTACAATAAATGTAAATTAGAAAATACAACAAAACTAAGAATTGAGCTCCTTATTGCCATMTAGTTTGTAGTTCTCCATCAACCATAATAATTCACCTTCCCTACCATCCATACTGTGTTCAAAGTTCATATATAAGATGCTGATGATACACTTTTACATAAAGTAAAAGACAGTTTGTTAGTTTGTAAAAGTAAAAGTGAAGTTTGTGACCACTTTTAGGGTCACAAGCACYGAATGCAACCTAAGGAAACAGAAGGAAAGGAAGACTGAACAAAAGGATGCATAGAAATATTATTTTTTTTCCTTATCAGGGTATGGGGGCAGTATATTTCAACAAAGGAGAAAACTGCATTGCAGCTGGCAGGCTGTTCGTGGAAGAATCAATTCATGATGAGTTTGTTAGAAAAGTGGTAAGATATTAAAAAACTAAAGTTTAAGTAGATGTTTTACTGTGGCAGAAAAATACACTACTTTTATAGACACTTATATTTCTTATTTTCAGTTKCTTAATTTCTCATTGTCGCCTATGATAGACAATGCTGCTTCTCAACAGCTAATTGCTGTGTGATGTAACTTCATTTCTATTGGGTGGCCCATAGGTTGAAGAAATAAAAAAGATGAAAATTGGTGACCCACTTGATAGATCTACGGATCACGGTCCMCAAAATCACAAGGCCCATTTGGAAAAGCTGCTGCAATATTGTGAAACTGGAGTCAAAGAAGGAGCCACTCTCGTGTATGGAGGAAGACAAGTACGTAGACCAGGTAAAATACTTGACAGAGGCATTTGGAATTTCTCCATTTATGCAAGAGTGTCTGTTATGATTGTCTCAGCTGTATTAAGAGGAGTTGCAATACCATGAGAACAGKACCAGACAAGCCCACGATCCCACAGGGCTTTCAGGTCTCATGAGAAGCTCTCTCAATTAAATGAAACGAGATCTTTGTGGCTACAATCCATTTTCTTGTTGGGCAACAAGAACCTCAGTGACATGCACACACATGAAACACAGAAGCACTTTTACCATGCTCAAATGTTGCTTTCTCCTCTGTTTAGGTTTCTTCATGGAACCCACTGTATTCACTGAYGTTGAAGACCATATGTACATTGCCCAGGAGGAATCCTTTGGTCCTGTGATGGTGATCTCTAAATTTAAAAATGGGTATGTTCTCCTCTGRTTACTCTTAGAAACCTTATTTTCCTGTTTTCACCCTAAAGAGATAGCATACATAATATTTTGTTAAATCTTGTTAGACCAATCTGAATACTTAGTAGTATTCATTGAAATGTTTTACTAAAGTTTATGTGATAATTGCAACAGCTTCATCTAATTGCAAAATGTGTATTTTTCCCAATGGAATTGYTTATTTTTCCTGTTACAGAACACTGCAGTGTTGTGTMTTGTGTAACACTGGCACATTACGTTGCACATGAAAATTCCTCTGTATATTTTGTAAACTGCCAGTTCTAATATCTTTCATTCCAGATCAGAAGAATTATTTTACATACAGATGAGATCAAACCCCTATATAGAAACTTCCACAAGTATTTCCACAGGTTTCATTTTCAGCAGTTTGATAATGCAGTCAATAACCAGCCACATACATAACCCCTTAAATTACAAATTCATAAGGGACTGCATTAATTTTTTTAAAGTTTTAAACTACTATTGATTTTTGAAGCTATATGGAGATGAGATGCAGCTAAGAAAATAGCACTCTGTAAATGGCCTGGGAAGTTGTGTCTTGATAGAAGTTTGAATTTCAGATTTTATTCTCCATTAACTTGGACAGCTGGATAAAATTTTAGCAAAWTACTTAACCTGCTACCATGCTCTGCTCTACAGGCATTTTTGTATTGCTCTAATTCCCAAGTTGTACAGTAGCTGAGCAAAGCTGTATGCATTCAGAAACATTTCCTGTGGCATTTCTCAGTGTGGATACCAACCTTTGAAATGTGAGCTTAAAACTTCACAAGCTTGAAGCAAGGGTGTGAATTTCTGCGAATTTCTGTCAGATTGACACACCCATTTGTCTTTAATAAATCTTTAAAAAAGCTGGAGAAGAAAGGCCAAGAGAAAAGGTGTTTCAATGAGTTGGTAATTACACCGAGGTGTAATTAAGTGTTTTCTTTCCCCCATAGGGATGTGGATGGAGTTTTGCAAMGGGCAAACGCCACAGAATATGGCTTAGCTTCAGGAGTTTTCACTAAAGACATAAGCAARGCTCTCTACATCAGTGAAAAGCTGGAAGCTGGGACAGTTTTTATTAACACTTACAACAAAACTGATGTGGCAGCACCCTTTGGTGGATTTAAACTGTCTGGCTTTGGGAAAGATTTAGGTAAGTTGTTGCCTCCTTCCCTCATTTCTCATCTCAGAGTTTTAATCAATGAAAGAACCACTTTGCCTATGAACAGTGTATCCAGTAAAACATGAGTTTTGGGTACATTTCCTGATCTCCTRCATTCCTCCAATTACAGTAATCCAATTCCTCTATCTTCCCTAAATTCTCTCACCTCAATACCTCCCTTTCAGCCATTCCTGTACATTTGCTAAATTAAGCTGTGGTGTGCAGAAACTTCCTCTCCAACTGCAGACAAATTACAGCTCGTTCAGAGCTGTGTACAGGCTGCAAAATGCTGTCAAATAACAAAGGTATTGGCCAAAATTTTATTTTTTCCCTCAGAAAAAAATGCAAAGCGAAGTTTCTCCTCTAAGTAAGAGCATGGGAAACTTTTTTATAYCTTAAAATGTCACCAAAATTTGCCAACAGCCACAGAAAAAGATGCATTAAATGACATTTTTAAAACAACTGTTTAAAAAAAGTGAAGTCCACTGTCAAAGAAGCTTCACAAGTCTGGATCAAGCCTCATGGCAAAGAAAAAAGGAAAACCGAATTTCACTGACACAACAGATTTTTGCCTTTGGAATCTCCAAAGTCAATTCCTGAAACCAAAATGACTGATGGTATCAGAGCAAAAAAAAAAGATGATTTTTACACAGCTTCTCTACCTATAAACTTTAATAGAGGCAAAGCAAAGTTCATAAATTCAGCTAGTGGCCATCTAGAGACTGCTGCTGCTTCACTCCCACCAAGGGGCCTGCTTGTTAAATTGCAGCTCCTTTTTCTTTTCCTGTTTCATGTGGCCTCTGGTCAAGCCAGTTCTGTAAATCACACCGGGAAAGTAATTATTTCCCATTATTCCTTAAGGACTCAAATATTGCCTACAGTGTTTCAATTTTTTTTCTTCCTAATAGTTACAGTGTGACAAAATTYTCTCATTTAGCTGCTGTTCTAACAGGTGATTATTGTGCTTGTACAGGTGAAGAAGCTCTTCATGAATATCTCAGAACCAAGGCTATCACTGTGGAATATTGAAATAACAGCTTCACTTGGGAAGTAAAACTTTCAGCAGTTTGAATTTTGATGACTACATGAAGCCCTCCATACCACACCTAAGATATGATGTYGGCAGTGCTACAACCAAACCAACAAAACACTCATTCCATGGATAAGTTTCTATRAATTAGGTCCAAATTTTAGTCTCACCCACAGACAATGGCTTTTGGAAATTAGCCTGAAGTTRTATTATGCAGCAGCAACAGTGGRTAGCACAATTTCCCCCCCMAAAAAACCCCAACAACACAGTTCAGTTTATTTTTTTTTAAAATAGAACTGAAGAATGAGCTCTCCCATGCCTACTTCATATTTCTGTGACATAATGTTTACATGATTGTTTGAAATCCTTAGTCATTAGGCTTCTAAAGTTGAACTAAAATACACCAATTATGCCATTTYTGCTCTAAACCAGTTCAGGTTTTACAGTAGCAATTAAACACTYTGCTCTGGTGACTTTTCAGCAGTACAGAAAACCTTTGTGCCATAAGAAGTAAATCAATGCAAGAAAGTGCACTTACTATGATCTTTGTATAGTACATACAGAGTTCAACATTGGTGTTAAACTATGCATATCAAGCTAAAGTTGCTGAAAATATTTTCTACCTTGTTGTTGATACGGAATGTGTGATCTGCCTGCAATTTGAAAGGTGGTTACATTAATGGATTAAAATCACTTTTTGTGTCTGTGCACATGGACTGCAATCCGTGTTTCATACAGCATGATTACTTTGTATTTCACTCTTTTGGGGTTTTTTTAACCTACAGGGAAATCCCTTGTAAAATGACCAAGGTAAGATGTGGGCTTTCAAACTTTTTTCAGTTTGGAAGAAATTTTCTATAGATTGAGACATTATTTAACAAAGCCTGTTATRACTCCTTGTTCTTAGAATGCAACACTAAACACTTCATCTATCTGTGTGTGGGCTGCCACTAAAGGCAGCAATCTGACTCTTTGATTCCCATCCTTCACTAAAATATTCCATAGTTTARTCAGTAAATCATGTCTCCATCCTATATTTAAACCACATTGTAAAAGAAAGACCAGAATCCTTGTTATTTAAGAAACRGATACTAAAACTGGAACTTTGAGTATGGGATTCAAAATAAATTCTATCAATRAAGGCAGGTTTCAAGTCATGACATTAGGTTTAATGTCTGAGCAAACACAGTATAGAAAATTTTACTTCAAAGGTGTAGAAAATACAAAGTTCCCTTAAGAAACAATGACATCCAGGAGCATGACAGATACTTCTGAAATGCAAACTGATCTAGGAAGTAAATGCAACAGCCCAAACCAAASCATTGTATTTGACAATCTGAGGTAAGTAAGAATGAGACACACTTCCACTGATTCTGGTTTCACAATTGTGTCAAGCCAACCTAAGAACTGAAAATTCACCTTTAAATGTCAGTGACAGTTGTTAACAAAATGAAGAGAATGGAAATGTGGCAGGGGAAGTGGGAGATAGAAAGTGAAGTTGGAAGCAATTGTAACACTTCAGAGGCTGATCATTTGAGCATGGAGGGTGTTTGCACTACAGCCACAAAGGTTTCCCATGTGAACCTGTAACCTTCCCAAGCTGCTGTGGAGCTCAGTGCAGGCACACAGGGGAAATGATCCTTTGCTGAACTCCCTCATCAGTCATGGCTCTCTTTACTCAGCCAGAAATGAAYTCAGCCACTGCTCTGGTGCTCAGCACTCACTGTCAGGAATGCAATGAAGACAATACCTCTGAGGTACTTCATGTTTAATATTGGAGACAGTGTACATAACACTTCAAATGACATGGAATAGAAAACCACATTTTTTTCCKACTTAATTCTTTCTTGCCCTTGAAGCAAAAACTTCTATCTTCCTGTAAAAAAAAAGTCTTTCATCAACAAAGGAACAGAGCAAGAATTTTAACTTTCAGGTGCCCCTTACTCTAGCTTTTCTTAGTAGAATCTACTATGAAGTCCATTTCCCTGTTAGTTGAAGAAGCAAACCTCACTTAATTCTTTGAAAATCCAGCCTCCTGCAGTCATGAGTGAATCCTGAATTCTCCACCAAGTAAACCATAGCATTTCACAGGACCCTGAGAGATGCTACACTGGGAAACAAGGTGGTTTAAGGGCCAGCTCTTCAAAGCGAGAAAACATGATTGGTTTGGGGTTTTTTAAAGTAAAATAAAACAGATTTACTCATTTGCTTTGCTGTCCAAAATTTCTATTTTGCCCTTTTCTCCCTTTTGTTTAGGAAACTTAATGTTGTCTATTGTCACTTCATCAGTTGCAGAGTCATCATCAGATTCTGAGTCGTCTTCTGAAGTCAGTAACTCTTCATCTGTATCAGAAACACTCAGTTCAACTACAGCCACATTCTGGAAAAAAAGAACTTGGTTAACACATTAGACATACTACATACAAATATATATACATATACATATTTATATACACACACAGACACCACAGCACTTCTATCACTGGAGTAAAAAGTAAGGCAAACACATCAAACAGCCAACTAAAGTAAGAAAACTACAACCACAATAAAAAAAKACTTTTGGGTTTTCCTAGGATTATRATGAATATCATGAAGAGGTTTCTAAATATTTAAACTGCAGTTTATACTGACCTGTAGCAAATCAAAGGCCATGTTTATAATTTTCCAAGAAACAACTGAGTCAATAGCTGAAYTCAGATTGTGTAAATCAGGTATTGAAACACAAAACTACTTTTGAGTAAAAAATTCAAACAAAATCCTTTAGTTTGTAAGGGATCATGACAAATATACAAAAACATGTATAAATATTTATAAATACAGTTTATATCTTATAACCTAGTAGTATTCAGGCACTGCAAATCCTCTAAAACAGCAAGCAGTTTAAAGCACCAGGATATTTCTTGAAGTGATCTCATAAATCCATATACAGAGCCATGATTTTTGAGGTCTGCTTAGCCAGAAGGCACTTGGCTGAGTTATGTACATATATCACCTCTATAATAAAGTTTTCTSATATAAGCATGTGGTTCCAGCACTTCAGTTAAAACCAGAAAGAAACTACTGATGTGACTGTAAATAAATAGACAAATACCAGCAATAAAGAATCACAGCAACACCAACAACTTTCCTAAGTCAGTCCTARAAAAAACCAACAAAGCAGAGCTGAAAGCCATTTATTACTCTTACATTAAAGCCTTCTATTGTCCAGTTTCTAAACCAAATCATCCAGGACATATTTAAAATACAATTTGTGACTTCTGATTCAGAGGCACTGATTTAAAAGGATATCTTACTCTGTTCTTTAACTACTTTATACCCAGTGATTAAATGCTGCAAATATGAAAAACAAGATGCAAACTTCAACCAGGTAAGTATCTTTATTRTATCTATGTTTTGAATTAGCAGATCACAGACTATGGTAAAGACTTCATTTTATCTATAACATAACTCATTCTAAGATCAGGCAGTTATTTKAATCACATCTAAAATTTATGTTATAAAAAGAAATGTATTTACCATTTCTATAACTTTTTCTGTTTCACTGTTTAGATGTTCAATGTCAAACTGATGAGCTGGTGCTGTTACCATTTTTCTTTTGAGCTCATCATTTGCCTGGGCCATCTGTGGTAAAAAGCTCTGTACTCGGTCCAAAACTGAAAAAAAGAACAATTATCACATGTATATATTTATATATACATATTCAAAGAGATGCCCATTAGTTTTCACATTTATACCTCAGAAATGAGCCTCTAAACAGATTCCATATCCACTGTAATTTCCAGCTGTATATAATAATTAAGTACAGACTGAAGGTCCCAAAGAAGATGGACAAATTARCTATAGCAGAGGCCATAATAGATTAATGAAAGATCAAAAAAATTAACAAAAGAAACTCTGATATGAAGATGGGGGGAGTGAGATGGAAGCTCCAGGTTGAAATATAAAGCACTTTACAGCTCAGTGGGATTTCACAAGAATTTCCATGGAGGAAGACAGTATCTTCATCTCCAGAGTTTCTTCAAAAAAGTTTTTGTTCTTTGAGAAGAGGTACTATTCCAAGTGAGCTCCACAAAAATCTAACAAACATAACCTACCTTTGAAACACTGTCATGTTTGTAGAGACTTTTATCCAATAAAGAATTTCATCTAACAACCTTTTAAAATTTCAGCTCAATGGCAAAACAAAAAAATAATTGGAGTCCTTTTAAAATTAAATGCCTTTATACAACAAATATATTACAGCAATAAAAGTACTTCTAAAAAGAGATAAGAGGCCCAAGCAACAACCCCATCCTGGGAAAGAACAATCTGTCCCTGAAACATAGAGCTGGAATGCTTAGCATTGCAAAATCTAATTTTGCAGCAGCAATGAGACTCACCAGTGGGACATGGAAGTGTGAAGGAGAACCAACACTTCCAGAAACTCCACAAGAGCAAGAAAAGCACTGAARTTATGTCACAAATGTCACAGTTSCAGTGACAAGCTCTTCCTTACTTACCACTGCTCCTGGGCATCCGAACCGTCTGGAAAGTCGTGGCCTTCTTGCTGCTGCATTTTGAATTAACCAACAAAATGTCTTCCAGCCCTGCAAAAAAAAACCAAAAAAAAAAACAACAAACAAATAAGCATTGCAGGGCTTAAGCTGACATATTCTCTGTAATTGTCATCTGCTTTTGCTGTTCTGGGAAGAAATACTGGGCTACACGGGCCACGGGTGTCACCCTGCAGGTCACCTCTTACACTCTGCTTAATTAAGCTGAAGTTCCTTAAGCTGTTTTTTTTTGAGCCTAAAACTGGTTAAGTGAGAGTTATAAAGCACAGAAAAATTACCCGTAACACCCCACAGCAGGCACGGTGGGGTTAGCGAGTGGCACTGATTTAAATCTTCACCCCTTTAAATCCCCCCTCAAGGGCCTCCGCGAAAACCCACCCCACGGTGGGGAATAATTCAGCACTAATTAACCGCGWTAATTAACGCTAATGACCGCCCGCCGACCCATTCGCGCCGTATCACTAATTAAACCGAAACGACGTGTCTTTTAAACTATTTTTTTTAGCCTCACAACAACGTCGTTACGACTGACAGCCTAACGTGGATTTGCCCCTTTATTTATTTCGGATCCCCACAGCCCTGCGCGGGAAAGCRGCTCCTCAATACACGCGGGATGCAAACGGGAGAGGCTCCCCCGACGAGCCCCGTCCGTGGGGCTGCCTGCCCGAGCCGAGGGGAGGCGGTGGGTGCCGGGCTCACCTGCACGGTGCCCCACACGCAGCAGCTCCCGGGACACCGCCGGCCCCGCCATGCTCCCGCCGGGGCCCGCCATGCTCCCGCCACGCCGGAAGTGGAGCGGGGCGCTCTCTGTGGCGGGAAGGAGCGGAGCGGAGCGCGCCCCCTGGCGGCCGGGAGGACTGCTGCCTTGAATGGCCGGTTTTTAATAATGACACAGACACTGTTTAGGGGATAAAAAGGGTTTTACCTCGGGATTTGGGATCCCAGGTGCGCAACTTGATGGCAGAATGCACCCAAGTGTACAGCACGGGTACAAGTTTTATAGGTTTCAGGAATTAGCATATCTATCAAGGATTCCCCAATAAGATACAAGTTTTATAGGTTTCAGGAATTAGCA